CGACGCTTGTTTTGGTAGTAAATAAACAGTAAAACTAGCTAGTTTCTAGATCATTATTATTAATTTCTAATCAGTTTATAATCAATTTTTATTCTTACTTTTAATTTTTATTTTAATTGCTAATACATCGCTAAATGTTTCGGTCGTTTACCAACGCTATTCGAAAGAATTATTTTATTTAACAGTAATTTGACAAATTTATTATTAACTACAGGTAGAAAATAAAAATACTGAAGAACATTAAGAAAATTATCGAAACCTCTACCGTTGTATTAGCTCTTAAAAATGTATATGATGTCTGATGATATGTATAGAATTCTCGTCAAGCTAAATCAACTCTTGTTAACTAGGTCAAATTGAACAAAAAATTCCTCTACTATTTTGCAAATAACTGTATAAAATTTTAAGTTTTTAATTACAGAAGATTAGCGAATAATCATGCGATATACTGTGCAGAGTGTAACAGCAAATATGATTTGCGTTGTGTGTTTGTGTATCAGGTCATATTAATATAAGGAAGTTCTATATATAGGGTAAACTCGGATAAGATGGCCATACTTTTTTAAAATGCAAAAAAGGTACATTTCTTATTGTTATTTCTTGATAGCGTTTGGCACATTGCTTCACTGAAGTCTACAGTACATAATACCATCAGAGTTAAAAGGAGAATACTTCAGTGAAATTATTTATTACAAAAATATCAAAATATGAGCATTGGCCATCTTATCTAAATGTTTAAGACAAGATGACCGTAAGGAATAAATATTTTATATCCATACATATTTTATGTTCAAGATTCTATACCTATTATTTTATAAAATAATGAAAAAAAGCATAATTTGACATATTCATTTTAATATAGGATATTTAATACACTATTTGTGAAAAATATAATATATACATATAAAATAATACATATAATATATATATAATATACATATAAAATAGAAACCTCTATTACAAAACTTAAATTTTAAATCCAATTTTTTATCAAAACATATTGTATATAAGATTTAATTACTGTAATATTGAAAGTAATTTTTGAAATATAATGACTTTTGTTTTATAAATGTTAAAATGATAGTGGGCCATCTTACTCAAAATGTGAGTGAAAGACGATTATAATAATACTTATAATAGTACTTATAAATAAATAGTAAAAATGAAAATAAAAATGCATGTTATATTACAATTTACAAACCTACTTTATGTATCTACCGTTGATTACGATAGTTTAACTGTAATTTATTCGACGTTACTGCAAGTTTTAGTGGATACATGAGAAATTTTACAGTTAGTCGAAAATAAAAATATAATATAATATTCACTTTGCTATTTCGAAAAATACACGCACATACACTACGATAAATATCGATTATCTTTGTAACTGATTACACAAACGCAATATTTTGCAATATTTTGCAATTATTAGAGAAATTACAGCCTATGGCCATCATATCTGAGTTTACCATAACATTTTGCAAATAACCATTTAAATTTTTTAATTATTAATTAAAGAAGATTGGCGAACGATCGTGCATGCGATTATTCGTTAATTTTTTTAATTAATAACTCAAAGTTTTATATTGTGTGTCTAAAAAACGATAGACAAATTTTTTGTTCATTTTGACCTAATCTATACGTACACGAGAGTTATATATGTTATCAGCAGACACTCTATATATTTCATAAGTAACTAACTGCGAAAATATTAAATATACTTACTTTTATATGAAACTACATTAATATGAAAGTGCATATATGTGTGCACATGCATTTACATGAACACTTGCGTTTATATGAACATGCATATATTTGTGTAATTTTTACTAAGACGGTCATTCATAAAAAATGGTTAATTTAAGTAAGAATTGTAGTATTAACTTCACTTTTTTTTTCCAATTTCATTGCATGTGTAAAAAGTATTAGCTAGGATATTATCAATTTTAAATAGATATAAATTAGCCATTATTTACTAATTATTTGGTTCTAATTAATATCTGATTAATGTTAGATTAGGAAATAGAAAGTAGAATATTACAACTTTTGACTGAATATAATCTAGCTGTTAGTTACTAGTCTGTTTAGCTTGGTTAATTTCTGACTAGTCTTAATCCAGAAAATACATTTTTAACAACGTCATCTTAAAAAAAATTAGAATTACCTATATACTGTGACCAATAATTATTCAGTTTTATCTCAACATAATTTTCTTACTCATTTGTTCAATAGTGACTGTCTAGTAAAGCCTAAACAGTCAAAACTGACTAACTTCTGATATGTGACTATATTTCCTTGAAAATTTCTCTATTCAGGATAGTTAAATAAAAGAATTATGAGAAATTCTGCTTCATATAGCACAACTTACGAAATATTTTATTTATTTAATTTTAATTTCAAGACATTCGAGAATGTTAATTAAATATTGATGTAGGATTTAAGCAGAGTATTCTGCACACATATTTATATATTTCTTTCACCTTACCGCAACGAACAATTCACATTAAGATAACTGCACTCACTTTACGGGCGAATAATTTCGTTTGAAATAATATACGGAATGTTTGACCTTTTAGCTGTATAAGTGCCGGTTGCAGCGATGAGGAACGTTCAAACGGATACGGTAACACATGCGAGCGGTTGAGGTATTCTAGCGAAAGTAAGACATAACTAATTTTGAAACTACGCGACTAGCAGACGTAACCTTACCGGATCTTTGATTTTCACGGTCCAGGATTTCCCAGCTACGTGTGTCGCCAGTATAATAATAGCAGTTTCGGCATAATTGTGCGCCATTTAATACGATTGCACTTTAGCTTACTGTTTATGTATTTGTTGTATATTCAATTATGTCCAATATATCGGAATTTTACTTGTCGGATAAGATATTATCTAAATATAAATTAGAAATTTATAGAATTAATTTCAATAAATAATCAAAACAATTTTAAATTTATCTCATTCAGTATTCATCATGATTATTTATTAATAATAACGACTAAAAATTCTCTGTTAAACCAATCTTAAAAGGTAAGATAAATTTTTGTATTAATAATTAAATATATATATAGTGGAAGTCTTATCATAGCATGGAACTAAATTCTTATTATATCAACATCAATAATGTTGGGGATATAGAAGGAATTCTCTTCTTTGGTAGAAACTAAAGAATCAGAGCGACAATTATCTTACGTCGATATCCTAGTACGATATCAACGGCGAAATATAGTTGAAATTTTGCAGTTGCTGGTAAACTTTCGCGTCAAGTGAATACAGTATCGATATCCGAGAATAATGGGAAAGTGCCGAATGGTAAATAATTGTGGATTGTTAACAACAATGAGCAAAGTCACAACGTTTTATCATCAATAGGTAAAAGTTAATAACAAATTCGGTCTTTGCAAATGATATCATTACGATATACAAATTATGATATTTCAAAATTATTCGATGTAATTTAGATAAAATTTGATACGCTACATTATGCAATAACTTATATACGTATAGTAATTCCCATAAGTGCCGTTACACAGTAACTCCGATAAAATTTAACTGTTTAACCAGTTATTGTTAACATAACGGAAAAACGACATAATTGTTAAGAAAAACGACTTCTGAATGTCCGTATAAATCCTCAAGATATTCCTTGAAGATTTTGTGCTCTCTGAGTAACAATTGGAGCATCCTTAGAATATCTCAGCGCTATTTGCCGTATTCTAATGAGTATTGTCGGTTAGCTGACACTAAATCTGCAATTTACTGTTTTCCTCGGCCAAAGATTGTTATATTCAACATATTGAACCTCAAGACACTTGGTCAGTATTAACTTTTATTAATTATAGTTATTTATCGTTATTGTTGTTATTATTTATTATTATTTATTGTTATTAATTGCTATTAATGTCGTGCAGTATTCGTAAATAATTCGTAAGTACAATAATAAAAGACAATTGTTACAATTAATTAACTGATAGTGAGTGAATGTTAACAGCTTATGAAATTTACAGTAAATAAATATGAAAGATAAATAAGAAGTAAACTATTTGCTGTTTTAGAAACATTTTCGTTGTTGAGAAATGATTCCGATCTCGGCTTGGTAACAAGCTGGAAATTTCTCGAAGCTGAGCATCAGCTGTCGTCAGGCGCCTATAACGAGTTTACTTATGAGTTCACGCAGCTAGGCGCCAAACATTGTAAACTGTTTGTTTTTTGTTCTACGCAAGCCAGCGAGAGTCAATCTGAGTTTTCCTCTCGAGGTAAAGTGTTGTGCGAAGTGTTGCAGCCTTACGGATCGTGCGCTCTAGAGCTTCCTCGGGGAGCCTTACGGCTGCGTACTCTAGCTCGCGTACGTTAGAGCTTCTCGGAACGGAGAAGCATTTCACTTCTTTTCAGACCTGTCGCCCCCCCGTCGACGAGTTCCTGCGCGGCCTTCGCCGCCAACCTTCGTCAACGCTCTCCTGTTTCCTGCGCGGCTGCCCGCCACCTCCTTCGTCGAAGAGTTCCTGCTTTCCTGTGTGTTTGCCCGCCGCCTCCTTCGTCAACGCTTTCCTGTCTTCTTGCGGGACTTGTTCGCCGCCACCTCGTCAACCAGTTCCTTATTTTCTGTTTGGCCTTCTGAGCATTCATCGATCTTTTTCATCGCGTATCGCGAGGGTGTCACCCGGGATTCTTGTTTTTGAAATACAGAGTTGTTCCTTGAGCATTCGAATTTCATCTTGCTTCACCCGTGACATACCCTTATAGAAATATCATACTAAGAATCATTGATAATTACTTATTATCCAGTATTTTTAATACTGAAAATAAGTAATTATCAATGATTCTTAGTATGATATTTCTATAAGGGTATCGCGCGCACCAGTTTAAATCGGTTACGTTTTTATTCATGACGTGACAATAAGCATCGTTATTAGTGTATATTTTACATATACGCAAATATTTACATATAAGCAAATATTTCATTTACATTTATTTATTAGAACTAAATATATTTATTATAATTATAATTGCGTCATATATTTATTATATTATAATTAAAATACATGTATTAACTTTAGTTCACTTTGCTCATATATAAGCATTATTAAATCTATTTTAATCCTGACAATCAACTAATCGTGTAATGCAATAATTATGATTGTAAAATATAGGCAAATGTGCTTTATTATGTCGTGCAATCATCGACGACGTGACATGGTTACAATATACACATATTTTCAACGTCATTATCCTTTTGTGCATAAACTATTAATATTTCGTGTAGATCTGATACAACTTTTTCATTTTGATTGGATCCCTGTTTATGGAAAAATCTTCTTTTCATATATTCCTGTGTAAACTTATCTTCTAATTCTGCCATTCGATCATGAGGCATGTCCTCAAAAAATTGCGTTAGGAAAGAGAATAAAAGTTCTGTTGAAATAATTAATAATTAATGTAAAGTCAATTCTTAAACAATTTAAGTCGTGTGTCATATTAATATTTTAAACGATAATCAAATAACAGAGGAAAAATCTGTTATACGGAAATATTATTTTAGAGGTTCATACCTGGTAATTCCTGTGCGTCATTAGCAGAATGGGTTCTCTCTCGATGACTGCAGTGATGGACATTAAACCCAACACTTTTGAATAATGCTTTTAGATCTTTATGGGGATGATCCGAATTGTGGAATTCAGGAATGAAATTATTCGCATGCTGTGTAAGCGAAAAGAAAATATTTAATAGTTTATAGAAATGAATATTTGCAAAGGGACATAGCATATAGACAATAATATTTACCTTTATGTACGACGTATATCGATTGTCTTGCGACAATTTATGTAAAATATCAAATACGTCGTGAGATATTACCATTAATATTAGCACAGTTCCGCCAGGTCGAAGTAAGCGATAGATATTCTTAAATACTTGTCTATTAAATAAAGAAGTAAGCTAAAAATTAATCTACAAAGCATAAATGAAGCATAGATTTATCAGAATATATTAGGGTAGTTTGTATGTACGAATACATAAAATAATTAAAGTACTGATTGGTATTTTTTCTACCAACGAAGTGACATCGCTATTTCGTTGTGTCGTCGAAATATCGAAATACATTCATTTGCGTCAGTCACATGAGAATATTTGAAAGAAAGTTGAGTGTAAAAAAATCAATCTCTAATGTACTCTAATATCTTTCTTTCTGATGTTTTCCTAATATTCTCTAACATCTTCCTTACCGCATATCAGCGCACCAATGCAAAGCGTGAAATGAGAATACGTGATCATATTCAGAAATGTGTTTTTCAGGCAGATGTTTAGTTTGAATATCGAGAATTTCGAATTTGAGTCGTTCTTCGTCAGCGTGTAATTCCTTGGCATATTCGATCATGTCCTTCGACACATCAGTACCTTTATATACAATGCAATTAAACTATAATTTTTGTTAACATGTATTATATTTTTGCAGTGTGTTACTTTCTTACCAATGACTACCGCGTTTGGGTGGAGTGTGGGTAAGAGCATTTGTCTTGTAACGTCACCGGGACCGCAACCAATATCTATACCCTTTCCTGACATACATACTAATTCTTCTTCAAACTCCTCAAGTAAATGTTGTATAGCAGAATGTGATATATTGTTTGTTTGGATGTATTTCTTCGGATTTACCATATTGAGTTGAAGAGAATAATATGTAAAATGTCTATTTCCTTGATAAAATATCACCTGTTTTGATAATATGTATAAATTAAACGTCAATTGCAACTTTATAATCCTTTCATTTTTATTAACAGATTAACAATATATCTAGTCTTCAGATTAACAACATTTCATTTTACACCTAAAATGCTACTAGATTGTCGATTAAGATTTTCCTGTTAGAAACATCTCAAGTTATTTTTCTTCGCAACACGTATTGTTGCGTGTTATAGCAAAGCTCGTTATTGTTTTTCTATCTTTGTTAAATTTGAATTACGTGTATATATTATTCAAATTAACTCTTTCACAATAAAACTATTGGTTTTATTATGAAAAAACTCAACTTTTGACTTTGCGCGTTAATCAGTAATCTTTTTTCTTGCAGCATTGCATCCACTTTGCCGAATAATAAAAAAGAACTATAAATTAAGGTATATATATTTAATAATAAAATTTGTTTTTAAATATTTAAATATTGTTTTAAATATTTAAATATTGTTTTAAATATTTAAAATTTATTTTGAATTCTGAGAAGATGAATTTTTTTTTTTCTATAAGTAACAGACGTAGTTTTTTCCGAAACGAATTTATAAATAAAGAGTAACAACCGTTTCACAACTGAATGTATTTTTTTTGGTTCTAATCGTTGTAGAACTAGTAATATATTTTTTTAACCCATTAATGCTCAAATGCACAAAATTTTTTTAATGTTTTCGAACGCCTATAACTCAATAAAAATACAATAAGTTTTTTTCAGAGAAGGTTTACCCTAATATTTTTGGGTGTGCTCTTTCCGACTCTGGACCGTAAAATACTCAAAAATGTCATTTAATATTAGTTTTTTAAGATTTAAATTAAAAAATCACAACTTTTACATTATTCTTTTCACAATTATCTCAAATTTTTCTTGCGAAATACTATTTTCTCAGGGTAACAAGTATATAAAGCGTGCTAAGTACTAAGTACTTTTACTTTAAAAATATACCGGTGGTTTTTTTTCAAAATAATCATGGCGGTCTCAAAATGGCAGCCCACCCTTATAGAAATATCATACTAAGAATCATTGATAATTACTTATTATCCAGTATTTTTAATACTGAAAATAAATAATTATAAATGATTTTTAGTATGATATTTCTATAAGGGCAATATATAGAAATTTCCCTCATTCTTGATTCACTGTTTGTAATCTCTGCTGATAACTTTTTTTTTCATTAAATCGAGTTTTTTAGGTCACTGATTGTAAATTTGATGTTGGAATATCAACATTTAAAATGATGGATCCAATATGGCGGACTAAAAATGAAAAAATTGTAAATTTATATAAAAATCGATATTTATTTTTTGGGTCGCCGATTCTAAATTTGAAGTCAAATTTTTAAAATTAAAAATGGTTTATTCAATATGATAAACAAAAAATTAAAAAATTTCCAATTTGTATTGTAATATCGGAACACATGAAAGGGAAGTTTGGGCGTTACAAGTTGGAACTTATATCGTTTCTTGTGATGTATTGTTTCGGCTACTGCGGCGATTCGGCGTATTTACAGCGTTCGACGCGTAAGCGACTTCTTTTCGGCGCGACGTCGATTGTCGATTGTTCCGAAATATATAAGACCGAATATAAAACAAACGAACGGGTAGTCGTTATTAGAGCAGTCAGTCGTCGAAGCGATATCAGGAGAATTAGTCATCAAAGCACAGTAAAAGAGAACAGTCATCGTAGCATATGAATATTAGTGTTCACATGTGTGTATGTGCGTGGGTCTATGAGTTTACTTTTCTTGGTTGCACAATATCGTCTAGTGAAAATATAGTTTATATAAAATATAGCTGAAATAATTTATATAAAAAAACTTTATTTTACAAAAAATTATTCGTTATTCATATTTTTCAACTCATCTATTATTTTTTGCTATTGATCATCAAATGAAACAATCAATGCCTAAAATAAATGATAAGAGTTCATCTTCAGTAAAACGAACTAAAAGAAAAAATCTTCCTCATGAAAATTCAGTTGAGATAACCGAACAAGAGTTTTACTATGATACTGTATATATTCCCAATCCCGATGATTCTGGCAAGTCTGCAGATGACAATAGTGAAGAGGAATCTGATTCTGGAGAAGATCACAGTGATAATAAGTGTGATTTCTTCTTACCTACCCACAAACCTACAAACAAATCATATCAAATTTATTAAGATATAATTGAAGACTTCTGCTCCATTGAGCGCTTGAATATATACTACGTAGACCAAGATCAAAACGAAATATCGTAGAGAGAAATATTAACAAAAAAATTTTTATGTTGAAGTTCTCTGTTTCCCCTCAATACTGTTTATTAATGAAGCGTGCTTCACAAAGGTATTTTGTATTTACTTTCACAACTCTTATCGATGAGACATTGAAACAGAAATAGAATTGTTAATCCGAATTTTGACAATATTATCTTTGTGTTGAAGCAAATGGAAGAATTTTTGAACATTTATTATAAATTGAGCTTTTATAATCAGTTGCGCATTTTTGTTCCGCGTTTTTGTTTATTGTTTTTTGAAGATTAAAATATATATGTGTAATTGAAATAAATTTAATTTTTCCACTTATATGTTTGTTTTTTATTAAGATCATAAAATTCTTATTTTGTACCTTGTAGTATTAAAACGAAGAGTCGTAGAGAAAAACATTATTAACAAAATATGTTTGTTTTTATATCCACCATTTCCCCTCAAAGTTTGTCAGTCTAATTTTTCTACACCCTGTACACACACACACACACACACATATATATAATCTTTCGTCAGCGCGCCCATGTAACTGTTTATCGTATTAATTGTTTATGATATTGCTCCAGATAATCCTCTATATCCCAGATGAAAATAAAAATCTTTATAAACCGTTCGATGAGTATTTCTTGAGAGTTTATACGCTTTAAAATTTTATATGAACGTTGACATCTTGTAAGCTCGAGAGACGCTGTTGGATTTTGAAAGCTTTTAGAACGCTTTCATAACTTATTAAATGCTGTATATAACATTTTATGAAAGTCCTGCAATGCTGAAGCAACGTTTTTCAAAATACGTTTTTCAGTAAACTGATACACCTTCGTGCACCGAGTTTGCTGTCAGACTTTTAAATCGTCTGAAAAATATTTTTCCCAACGCTGTAAGACAAGCGTTTTTTCCCCGTTCAGCAAACGCTCTTCCAGTACGCAAGCGCCTTTTAAACGCTACAGTGTTGCAATTTCCGCTCTATTGACAATTTCTATACTCTTAATAAACTCCCGCCAACATTTACGTAAACGCTAAACAAACGCTTATGAAACTTCTTATTTTTGTCAGGGATACAAGTAGTGCCTAACTTGTCAATATTGTGGTTGGAAATTGCTATCTGCAAATACACATACTAGAAACAACTAGTGCAGGATATTTTCAAGAAACATGTGAAAAAATGAAAAAAAAAGGTAATTAGTAATTAGTTCTGGATTTTACCACTA